ACCCAGATGCCCCATTAAATATTCAACAATCTTTTAAAAGAGAAAATCTCTCTGGCTGGAGTATGGAGTATGAATAATAGAGAGCAAGCCTCGGAGATGGGAGAGTGGTCAGCTGGTGATTGCTATTTTTCAGGCAAAACATTCTTAGGTCTCTGGCTGGCCCTGTGACAAGGGGGGAGGAGGGGAGAGGAAACACGTGGAAGTATACAAGAAAAATATTTATGCTTCATTCTTTCATAAAATACACGATTTAGCACTAGTGTTTGCCAGGCATTACGCTATGCTCTCTGCCACTCACTCTTCTCGGAACAATCCAGCGATGAGCTGGTAACATCCCCACTGTCTAGAGAGGGGCTGAGGCTCACAGGGTTTGACAACTGACAAGGCCTTGAACCCAGGCCATGCTGACTCTAAAACATGGACTCTTCCCAATACACAAGGTTGCTTTTCCACTAATTAATTAGGACACTGAGAGTTTTAAGTGAGTCAATTTGATGAAAAATATTAAATAAAGGAGACAGGGCCCAATGACACGATGGAACCATGGTAGTCACACCTGAATGACAACAGATGTGGAGATGTCGGTCTAGGAAGACTCAACGTGAGCCTGGGATGGAACTGGAGCCAGAACCCAGGCTGCTGGGCTCCTAGTCTCAGGCTGTCTCTACCTCCTGCATCCCTGAGGGTGGGCATCAGAAAGGAAATGCCCTTGCAAAAATTTGCCTGGAGGTCCAGAGTTGATTTCATATCCCTGAGCCCGGTGCAAAATCAAATCAAAGCCTTAACAACTGGAAAATGGAGTCCATTCATTACTCCAATTAGTATCTACCTATCACCAGCTGTGGCTAGGTGCGGGCACTCCACATCACCCTGAAACAAGTCTCAGGGGCCCCTCCCGCAGCCCTGCCTGGGAGAGTCTGGAGCACAGTGACAGGGCACAAAGAAAGGGCCATATGGGGGATGTTACAGTATTTGTCACTTCAAAAGACGACAGATACATTTCATGATCTAGGGCTGTATCGAAAATCTGAACATATTTTTAGCTAAATAATGAAAACAGTGGTTTTTTATTGTTGTTTGTTTTGTTTTTGCTTCTTCAGGAACCATTGGCACATAGGCCCACACTCTCAACTTCTGCCCTTTTCTCCTCCCAGGCCAACATATGATGATCGAGAGAGGTAGTAGGTCAGACTGATGGGAGTTCGGGGAAAAAGAGGTGAGGTAAGACAGGGTGTGTGTGTGTGTGTGTGTGTGTGTGTGTGTGTGTGTGTGTGTGTGTGTGCGCGCGCTCACACATGCACTTGTGCTTGCATACATGCTGGCATGTTTTAGAAAGGAGGGCACCTCAAGGTGATGAAGACTGGGCAGAGGGAAGGCTTTTTGAGTGAGTGAGTGAGTGAGTGAGTGAGTGAATGAACAAACAAATGAACAAAATGCCCAGGCCTGCAGTCTCCTCCACACCCTGGTCTCAGATGGAGACAAGCCTTTTCCCTAAAGTGGGTGATGGATGGTCTTAGCATTTATCTCTATCATCACTGTGCCCACTATTACTTCCTTAACATGTCACCTCCTCTAGAAAACATGAAAAGAACTAAAGTGAGGCTTACTGGACAATGTTTTCTACATCATTTGTTCCTCAGTCACTGCTGTCATGACTCTGGGGGTGGGAAAGGAGGGGAATTCTAGTAACCAGGCATGGTAACTAGAAAGTGCTCAAAAGACATCCCTAATAATGAAGCGTGAGATTTGGGGTCCACGGCGTCCTTAGCAGCTGGACGGCTGCAGTGGGCTGTTTGCAAAGACGGCCACAACAGCCCCCTCCCTGGCTGCAGGGATGCCCCTTTGCCTTGTGACTTCGCAAGTAATTCCCTCTAAGAGGTGATGTTCACTCCTCCACACCTCAACCATGGACTTGGCTGCGTGACTTGCTTTGGCCAATAGCATATTTGCAAGTATGACACGAGCAGAGGCTTGAGAAGTGCTGGCACACTGGGTGTTTCCCACTTTGGGCTCTTTTTTAACTGGCCAGAAATCCAGAGCCATATCAGCAGCCCTGGTTGAACTCAGCCCAAATTGCCAGCCAACAAAATCATGAGTCACTGAGTTCTGACATCATTTGTTAGGTAGCCACTGAAAACTGCTACCAAGGCCTTAAGCAAGGTACTTCTTTGTGTCTCGGTTTCTTTACCTGTAGAACATGCTAATTAAATAATACATACAAAACACCTCATACTGTGTGACACACATCCCAAGCACATACTACATGGACACATTTGTTACTATCCTTGTTTTGACAATAAAGAAAATGAGGTCCAAGACGTTAACTGACCTGGCCAAGCTGGTAGGTGGTGCAGCAAGGGTTCAAACCCAGACCTGTCTGCAGTCTGCCTCCCCTGCCGAGAATTCCCTTTCTCCTCCCCTCTACCCCTCTGTTCTTTCATCCTACCCCTCCAGAGGCACCAAGCTCAAAACTCAGCCTTGATCACAGCAGCCTACCTGGAGCCATCGCTTTTCTGAACCTTCGATTTCTCTTGCACGTGCACACTCTCCCTCTCGTTTCTTCACTCAGTAAGTGTGCACCAATCACCTACTATGTGCACGCACTGCCACAGGCTCTGGGCACACTGTGGAGAGCACGGCACAGCCCCCACAGAGTTCAGGGTCTGGGTGCCTCCCCCTCAGAGTCCACATATCCAGCAGATACCACACTCTGTTTCAGACTGCTGTATCACCAGTTCACGTACTTTAGTCTTGTCTCCGTGCTCAGATTCGAAACTCATTGTAGGCAAAACCACTTTTGTTCATGTATTCATACATCCCTCCCACCTCTGCTTCAGCAAGCACCCTGGGAACACTGGGGATACACAAGATACTTCAAAGATGAATTCTTCAAATGTTCACAGCCCACCGCCGTGCCTCATGCAGTACTGGGTAAACAGTAGGCAGCCCCAGGTGCTTGAATTTAAATGCTTTCGGGGCAACCACTGAAGACTCAGCGTGCCGTCAATAAATGAGCTGGAGGTTGCTGCTGGCATTCTGAGGCTCTCATCCCTCCACGAGGGGCTGCAGGAGAGAACTGGGGAGGTGCTGCCCCTTGCTCCTCCACCAGCTCTGAGGCCATCGTCAGGCTGCCATGAACACAGGAAGCAGGGACTGACCTTCCTGCCTGGCCTGAACATCTGACACCAGCAGCGTTTCTGTCCAGCTGCCCTGCCCCGTGGCCAACGAGGGCAAGTGCGCGCAGAGCGCCTGCTGGGTTCAGGGCACTGTGCTGGGCACCAGCACCGTCTTCCGAATCCCTGCCTGCTCTGTCCAGTTTACACCTGCCAGCCCTGTTGGTCACAAGCAAGACTGAGAGGTGAAGTGCCAGAGGCCATACAACTGGGTTCAAACAGAGTCTCTGGGCATTAAGTGCACCGTTACTGACCAAGATCTGGCTCTAGGGAGATTGCACGCACACTGGCGACACAGAGATAACATGACAGATTTTTTTTCAACTGCCATAAGATTTCAAAGCCCAGAGGTAATAGCTTTCTAAAGGTGGAGTTTGGTCTGGGTTTGAAAAATGAGTATGACACACACAAGCAGAGAAGGAAAGAGGGCAGTTGTAAGCAGGGGGAGCTACAGGGTAAAGGGGTCAAGCGGGGCAGTATTTGGGGTGTGCAGAGGGTGTCAAGGAGAGGAGCCCGGCTGGAGCCCAGAGGAAAGGTTAGAAATCTGGGTGGGAGCGGCTCTGTGTGTGTGTGACGGGGGCGGGGTGGTCCCTGGGACCAGGACCCAGGTGTTGAAATACCATAGAGGAGAGTGATTCATTCAAAGAGGTTCCTGAGGAACATAAGAAGGACCTAGAATGGGGAACGCTGGTCTAGAAAGTCCTCTACAGAATTCTGAATCGGGAAAGTCCCCATGTAACTGAGTGGGAGACTGAAGCCCAGAGAAGTGAATGCTTTGCCCAAAGTCCCATAGCTGGCTGGAGTCTGAGGCAGGACTTCCAACTTGAGGTCCAGGCTCTTGGGCAAAAGCTCTCGGCCCCTGAGGAGTCCACTACCTGCTGGCCACATGGGATGTGAAGATAGAAAGATAATAACATCTAAGAGAGGGGTCTTCTCACAGCCTGCTATTCTTTCCCTTCCTTCCATATGATTTCAGCAGCAGAATCCCCACTTTTAATGAGAAACTTTATAAGGAACCCTGATATATTTAAAATACAACAGTTTTCATCTGTCCTGATTGTCTCTGGCAGTGAAGAGTCTCGAGCTCCATCTGCTGGGGCTACCTTGCCCTGTTCCCCCCAGGTTGTCTCTGGGGCTCACCACATTCTTCCATAAAGAAGCCCAGGGGCCCTTGAGGCACAATCAGTCAACTCGTGCATCATAACCTGGTGTGCCTGTGTTCCCCATTCACCTACTTGGATTCTAATACCCATTTCAAGTCCAGTCAGATCTCACCTCCACATCAGTAGTAAGGTCAGTTCTAGGCCAAGTTGTACTGTTCCGAAATCATTCCTTGGAGATGACAAGGAATGATCACCCCCTTCAACTCATGTGACCCTCCGAACAGTGCTCCATGTTGCAGACGAGAATACAGAAACCCAGATGAGCTACATACCTACCATCAATAGGCAGCAGGCGTCAACTTCAGCCTGTTGCACCTGACTCCAAACCCACATCCCTGCCTCAGGAGGTTTTATGTCCATGCTGTCCCCACCTTGACCTTGTGTATTCTGCTTTTACAGGTAACACACAGCAGGTAGGTCATGCAAGTCTCTTGTGAACTTATACAAACTAAACATGCCCAGGGCCCCACCCCAGGTATACAGAATCAGAAGCCAGGGTTGCAAACCATTACAGCCCACCATGATGACTCCCAGTCATTGGGGCACAGACAGAGCAAAAATGCCCACAGTCATTCCAGGTCTCTGGTTTAGACTCCCTTTGGCTCCTGGTGCTGAAGAAAGAGGACCCGATTCCAAACAGCAGCAGAGCCTCAGCAGAACTTACTGTGTAGAGCTCATTGGTGACCTTCAGGAGCTCCTCATGCATCTGCAGACCAATCTCCTTGCTCTGGAATATGAAAGAACAAATGTCAGAGGGGGAGAAAGTCACTGGTTGCATTGACCAATTTCCTTTTCAACACAGAAAGGGCAGGAATACTTGGGATGGGGTGGGAATGGGTACAGAAACCAACATAAACTTCATTGATCTAGACTTGAATTCCTCAACTTGTGTCCATGACACAAATCCACAGAGAGGGGCCCCTTGCAAAAGGAATATTCCCTGGCCAAATAAGTTGAGGAACCTTCTACCTCCCTGCATTGGTGATTTACAGAGACGTCATCATGTTAAAGATCTTGAGAAGCCCACAGCCAATCAATCTGTTCATCTTTCTTTAATTCGGTGGGTCCTAAGCTGATGTGACCAGAGTCTGTGTCCCTGGCTCAATACTCATTAGCATCTCATGAGAGTGGGGTTCCACAGAACACAGTTTGAGAAATAATGATCTAGCATCTCAATTCATCATGAACAGTACAGGTTAACAGACTGGATGGAGCACAAGGCAAAAGATCAAGGTTGTTGCCTCCACTGCATCACTGATGGGCCATGTGGCCCTGGAGTCTTACTTACACATCTATAAATAAACTAGAGCATCACAAAGCTTGGTCTGGGGGTCACTGCTGAGTGCTATACTAAAAAGGGGGGCAGAGGCTTTTGTAGGCAAATACACTTGGGAAAGCTAGTTGAACAAAGAGAGATAGGTTCTCTTATGCAGGACTTTTCAGAGGCTTTCACACCCTTATATGCACGGCTTTCTACAGAGAGCTGTAGTATACAGTTTAGACGACCTCAATCTTTTTTCCACGAGGTGACATACACATTTAGTATATTGAGAAATGCAGTTCAGAATACAATTCACAAATCATCTCCAGGTCTCACCCAGCCTGAAGAGTTTAGGATTCTCTGTTACTTAAGGTATTATCATCATCATCATCATCATCATCATTATTATTATTATTTTGGTTAATACTTTCCCTGTTTGCCTGGACTATCATGTGAAGTTTCCATGTTGAAAATGGGAGCCCTGAAAAATCAAAAACACAAGGAACAACAAGTGTTGGTAAGGGCGTGGAGAAAAAGGAACCCTCGTGCACTATTGGTGGGAATGCAAACTGGTGCAGCCACTGTAGAAAGCAGTATGGATGTTCCTCAAAAAATTAAAAATAGAAATACCATAATATTCAGTAATTTCCCTATTGGGTATTTACCTAAATAAAATGAACACTAATTCTAAAAGATATATGCACCCTTATGTTTATTGCAGCATTATTTACAATAGTCAAGATATAGAAGCAGCCCAAGTACCCATCAATGAATGGATAAAGATACAGTGTATATATATGTAATGGAATATTATTCAGAATGAAACCTTGCCATTTGCAACAACATGGAGGAACCTAGAGGGTACAATGCTAAATTAAATAAGCCAGTCAGAGGAAGACAAATACCATATGGTTTCACTCATATGTGGAATTTAAGAAACAAAACAAAAAAAGACAACCCCCAAAATGGACTTTTAAATACAGGGAACAAATTGGTGGCTGCCAGAGGGGTGAGGGGTGGGAGG